ATTATGGGGCGGCTGATGCCTTCTGGTGTCTGAGCGCCTCTTGCCTCGTGTTTACAGTAATCCTCAGTTGTAATCGCTTGCCGTTCGCTAATTAAGAGCAGATAATTGTGGCTTGATTTAACGACCTTATGGTGACTGCTGACAAATTGTTGCAGGCGGAGCAGCTGTTGAGAGCAGAGACAGAGAGAGTGAGGCAGGGGAGTGCTGCTCTGAAGTGCAGGGATGAGCAGCAGACAGCTTTTACATGGCCTTTTCTTGCTCAGCTCCGACTCCAAGCCAATTACGCTTGCTAACATAAAAACAAAGGCACATGGACTAGCATTTGGCCCATAATAACACATGTAATGCAGACACAATAAAGCTTTATGGTTGACTTTTATGCAGAGGTGTTAAACCCATACTTGAGTAAAAGCATTGTTACTGCAATCACATAATGACTCAAGTAGAAGTAAATGTAGCCTAGCAAATAACAACTAGAGCAGAAGTAAAAACTATTGGGAAAAAATCTTAAGTGCTGAGTGCACTACTGAACTGCAGCGGAACTTCTTAGTGCATCCAGCAGGATTTCTGTTAGATGATCAACACCGCTATTTGACCGGTAAGACCACTGCAAGTGTCAATTTAAAATCCCACTGGAGAAAAATATGGTAAAATATTCACCCAAAGTATTAATGTAAAATATAAGTACATAAAATCCTTCTTTCTGTTCTAAATATAGGTAAGAGACTGCTGCCATTTAACAAAGACTTACACTTACTGCTAATATACATTTTTCACATTCTATCAAAAGAAAATAATGTTGCGGTTTAAATGGAGCCAGTAATTAGGCTAGACTATAATAACAGCCAGGGCAAGTTATATGCCCTCATTCAAACAGTGAGTAGCTTTGCTCAAATGTTGTTTGCGTAAATGTTATTTGGTCATTTTTGAGTGGTGAAGCATGTTTTTACTGATCTGGTGGTCAATAAAGACATTTAGACATTATTTATTGCAAGGAAACGAAGATGTGCACCGCTTCTTCTCTGCGACGCTCTGGGAGCAGTTCAGGTTTGCCGTTAATGCTGCGTCACTCCAGTTTAAAACTAGAGCTGAAGGTTAAAGCTTGAGACATTTCAAGCTGCTAAGAAATATTTGAAAAGCTTGCAATGCAAGTCTATTTCATAATACACGATAGGTGACATGAACTAGCCTATCGCCTGACAACATGAATAACAACCAATATATGAACAGATTTTTAACCTGCTTGTTCAGCAAACTGAATCATTCCCAAACACTGTGACTGTGCACAAGCATCTATCACCATATGAACTGAAGTTTGTTTGGGCCTTATTTTTCCTCTTTTGTGACCCCTTTGGTCTGAAATAAAACGCTAAAGCTACAAAGTACAAGATTTGAAGATGATCAAAGCAGTTCAGGTGCTGAACTGAATATTATCATCATTATTAAGTCAATTCCGACTCATGGCGACCATCTGGATAGTGTTTCTCCAGAATGTTTTCTTTTTCTCCAGAATGTTTTCTTTTTTGGCCTTTAGGTTTCTGAATGACTTGTTCATGATTCCTCTGATTGTATCCACTCATCATGTTGCCGGTCATCCTCTTCTACCTTCAACTGTTCCAAGCATATGGTCTCTTCCAATGAACTGCTTCTTCTCACAATATGTCTAAAATAATACAGCTTCATTTTGGCCATCTGTGCTGCGAGTGAGAGGTGATCCTTGATTTCCAAGACCAAAGTTCAAAGCCTTTAATTTCTCGCTCATTTATTGTCCAGCTTTTACATACATACATACAGAACCACAGAGAAGACCACAGCCTGGACAATTCTGATCTTTGTTTGTAGGTACACATCTTTAGCCTTTGAAGATCTTTTCAGTACTGTGTCGTATTTCTTGACTGCTGGATCCTTTGTTGTTAATAAAGGATCCTAATAGGCAAAAGCTGTCCACCATTTCCATATTTTATCCATCAATGGTAAAGTTAGCAATCTTTCTTGATGTCATTAGAAACTCAATGTCTTCATACTGAACTGAAGTCCCATCTTTTCACTCTGTAACCTCACCAGAGTTTCTGAGTGGTGTATCATCTACATATCGAAGGTTACTGATGTTTCTTCCACCAATCCTGAATCTTTGATCATCTTCCTCCAGTCCTGCTTCTCTCATTAGATGCTCTGCATGTAGGTTGAGCATGTATGGTGATAATGTGCAGCCTTGCTCTTTTGCCGATGAGTAACCAGTCTGTTGTCCATTTTCTGTCATGAATGTGGCTTGCTTATCAGTGTAGAGGTCACTCATATGATAACAGAATGAAATCCAACCCAAAAATAGGAATTAGCAATTATAAAATGAGCAACTGAGTGGCTAATAAAATTAGTACTTCCTTCACAAACACAATTAGAATGAATTATCATTTGAAAATACTCAGAGAAGTAGAAATACATCACATGTAACTGCAACTTCTGTAAATGTAAATATTACTAGTTACAACCCATCTCAGCTTTTCCTGAAGTGAAAAGAGTGGTCCAGAGATTTGGGTGACCACATAAGGACGGGATGTCCCAAAGTCTTTCATTTATTATGCAATAATTTCCAATAAACGTTCGATTAGGAGCTAATTTTAGCATCTAATTCAGGGTATTCTCAAATATAGCGGCTCTCATTTGCATAGATATATGAAATATGAATGAATACCTGAATGTATAGTCTGACAACAGGCCCCTTATAGAACCAGCTCATAAGGACATCTAATAACGTTTTCTCATCATGCTGATTGCCGTCACATCGCTCTCCTGGAAGGGACTGAATTGAGATTTTAAAATTGCATAATGATATTATGCTGATATATGAGCCACAAACTGACAGCCATGCAAATAATATAACTTATCTGCCTATATACAAACCACAGGGCAAAAAAAGCTATGAAAATGAGACATAATTATAATAAGCAAAAGGATCATACATTTCAAAATGGAAGGTGCAGCGCTGAAATAAGCGCAGGCAGCTTCCTCTACCTTCCTTATCAGCTCAATTTAGATGATTATATTCGCTTCTATCAAAATCTAATCGACAGATCTATATGAATAGCATTTTCTCAATTATTAAAATAGACAAAGAGAGCAATTCATCTTGCTGTCAGCCCTCTAATGCTATCATTAAAATGATTGACAGGCTGGGAGCAGCATTTGAAACCAATAGGAGTCAAAACAAATGAGCAGGGTATGAACACAAACCCTGGTATGTCATTAAGAATGCACAGAGGCCGGCATACAGCACTTAATGAGGGCTAGGTACGAGGAGGGTCAGCGATAGAGGCAGGTACTCTACTCAGTCCCATCCGCTCTTTAATCTCTTATTCTTCTAATGAAACTAATAGAGAGCTTGAGGCTGATCATTATCATTTAGCATTGGCTGGATAGTATTAGTTTGGAGCATTTCCTCGGTAATGTGGCATTCATTAATTATAGCTGTGACGTCACCTAAGACAGACAGATGGATGGGTGGTCTGGCTTTTTTTGATCTGTTTTCATTAAGGCCCATGATATCATTCACTGTTTTAGAAGGAGGGGGGTTCATCATTAAACTACACACAAGGCCCACAGATGTACATTCAGTTTGTGTGCTAATGATCACATGATTACAGTACCGTGCAAAAGTCAGAGTCAAAACGACCTTTAAGTAGAAGTTATTCGTTTTTCAGCATCAGGGAAAAAAATAACAGAAAACATACATTTAACAGAAAATTACACTAAAAATATTCAGCAACTAAATATAACGTCACATATTTTCAGTGTCTGCCTTCATTATAGCTTCCATTCTTTTCAGGAGACTTGCTTTCCGTTTTTTCAAAGAAATCTGCAGGGATATTTTTCACATGTGCAAAGTTCAGTTTTAGAAGTTGGTTGCATTTTCTGCTTATCGTGATCCGGGTAATCCCACACACATTCAATTAGGTAGAGGTCTGGACTCTGGGGTGGTCAGTCCATTTTTCTCAGCACATCAGCAGACTCTGTGACTTGCAAATTTCTTCTTTCATTTGTATTTCATCACTGTCCAAAGAAAACCATGTATCTTCATTTTTGTCAATTTTTATTTTTCTACCGCAGCTGTCCTTAACGTTGTGAAAATTTCATGATGAATGGGCCAATAGAAATGCTCTAAAACCACTTAAAAATAAAACCTCTTCATATTAACTTACATTTAAAGGTAAGCGTATTTTTGCCCTCTCCGGTAAAGTTACTATTTTGGAGATTCTTTTTCTTTGGACAGTGACGATTTCCTTTTCTCAGTAGGGGCTTCTTGACAGCTACATATCCTTTCAGACTCACAGCATTGGGTTGTAATCTCACAGTGGAAGGATGGACAGAAACACCTCTGGATTCTTTCAGATCTGAAGGAAGACTGGAGCTTGATTTTCTTGATTTCCTCTCTCTCAAGATGAAAGATTTAAGTACTGTTTATCTGATGGTGATCGTTCTGGTGGTCGATCAGGTCTTGTACGGTTGTTACGCTGCGTTTACATTGCAGGGAAGCAAAAGGCTTATGTCACCAACTGTTAGCCACTTTGTGGGCGTCCCTAAACATAGGAGCAAGTTTAGGTGTCCAAGCAGAGTTCTAGGCTACCTCTGTAAACTCTAATATTAAAAAAAAAAAAAATTAAGCTAATGTAAAACTCCCATTATCTGTCTTCCACTTGACTGGCTGCTCCCTGATGAAAAAAGAAAAAAAAAAAAAACTTCTCATCTGCATAAAGTTAAGAAAATCTCAACCTTTTATAACTTTTTATTGTTCTCTCCATGCGGCCTCTCAATTTTGCACAGTACTGTACATTCTACAATACTGCAATATAGTTTCCAAACATGACCAGTTATACGATAAAAAACTTGTAGTATACAAGCTGAATATATTTACGTACTCCAACTAGGGCTGCACAATATCGAAAGTATTAGTATTGCGATCATATCGATATGACTGGCATAAAACTGCATTGGTGAATCAATGATGTGATATGGTATCTATCATTTATTCTCCCCTCTATGGCCCATATACAGAAACTACACTGTACAAACAGCCTGATCTGAAGTACTTGTTTTTATGATATCACAAAAAACAACACATATACAATATATTCTCCTATTCAGTCTCCTGCAGTTTAGCCCTGCCCAGTCACACTGCAGCCATAAGGAGTGGAACTGTGACTGATTAAGATGCTGAAAGAGCACAGTAAAAAACAATGTGATTGATCTTAGGGCTCATTTGCAACTCCACATTGATGCCCATGGGATGGGATGTGTAACAAGACATGTGTAATGTGAAGTGTGATGGTCAGGTGTCATGTAGTACATCAGTATGGAATAAGTGATCGCATGTTTATAAAGCATACTTCCAGAATTTCCCCATTTTGGATTTAAAGATGCTGATTGTCTGAAACGAGCATATTAGAAAGGCCAATATCATGATAATGATTAAAAAAGAATATATTGTGATCTACCTCCAACTAAAACATAAGTATTTAAAACAGTTGCATGTAAAATTTAGGCACCCCTGGTCAAATGACATGTTTTGTTGATTTTCTACGTGAAAATAAGTTAATACATCCCTTATAGAGAGCACACTTCTGTACTTTAATTTTAATGCAAAATTACTGCTTAGTTGCTAAATTTAACATATTGGGAAAAACAAAATTATATATCAAGTTGCGACTCTACATGATAAACCAGATGTCATCTGTTTCCATCACCACCTCCACCTTCCCAACACACACATCTTCTTTTGGTATTCTCACTCCTCAACCTCCACATGACCTCGCAGCTGATTAACAAGTGCTTGCTGATTAGCAGAGTGACTGTGGATGGCCTGAGAGACAGTTAGAGAGAGAGAGAGGGAGGGAGAGGGGAGAGAGCGAGAGAGAGAGAGAGTTAAAGTTCATTAACTCTCAGTGCATAAACATTGATGAAGTGCAATGCAAGGCCCATGAATCCTTACAGCCAATCAGTGCAGTAGATGAGCAGTCATGGTGGCTTGAAAGATGGCCTTATAGAGGCGAGGACACGCTCTTTAACATTAACACACATAACAGACCTGTCTGCACCTTACAGCACTGGAGAGCATAACCGCATCTTTCATCTGTAAAAGAAGTAGCGTCTGTAGATTCTGCACTCAAGTTCTGTGCTCACTCTGTGTTAACCTTTTTATTATCACTTGATTTAGAACTCATATGGTTCATACACTGACAGAGCACTATGTGGCAACATTTTACATCAATCATAGAAACCCTAATATTCATTACTTCTTTGAAATAGAAACGTTTGATGTGTAAACACTGTTAAAGTTTCAAAATGTACTGATATGGATATGGAAACAAAGCTGCAAAAACAGCCCATTTTAAACCAATTGTATTTGTGATGTCACAAAAACCTTTATCCTCCCAGCTTGGGGGTGTCATGTGATGGGAAAAACCTAGTGGGTGAACCACAAGTGAATAAGGGAGAAAGCTGGGTAAACATCATGCTGATGTTTGCTGGATTATCTCAAAAACTACACTTATGCCTAATCCTATTTTACCCCTTGCCCCTACCACTGAGCCCTTAGCCCTCCGTTTTGCGCGTTCACGCCTATGGGTAGGATGTCCCGATTTTGTTGAGATAGAGGCGTAGGGGAAGTGTTAGGGCTACATGGCCCTCCAAACGGAGGTTTTTCAGAGGCACACTTCAAATAGTGTTATGGGAAAAAAAAGAAAAAACTGGCAAGATGGCTGCACAAGTGACCAAAGAAACCCACATATGTAAGAATTTTCTGTTAAAAAATTCGATAACCATTGTATTATCTTAGTTTAATGCTGTTTCAATATATTTTGGTCCTTTTCTTCATAAAAAGCATGAAAAAAATCACTATTAGTACGCTGATGTCCTAGTATCTACCGAGCTACATTTCCCACTCCACCTTAAATGGTGCAGCAGTTACGTTCTGGGACCTAAGGCATCAAAACTGCTGCACCATTTAGGTGGAACGTGAAAATTCGAACAAAAAGCTGGTGAATATCTGACTTCAGCTTCATATCACTGAAGAATTAGGGGTGGGTGATAATGAATAATTGCCACATATGATGCCCTAAATGTAACTAAAGCCCAGCAGTGAGGTTGCTGAATTTTACCCTCCTCTGTTATCACTGCAGACTGGCAGGGTTTCCTACAGAGCACCACTAGTAGCCTGTTAATGAAGTAATGTTCTTTTCTTTTATTTGAGGGTCCCAATTCAGCGGGGGAGAGTTCAACCACAAGGTGACGCTTGAAAATAAGGGGTAGGGGTAAAAATAAGAAATGGGATTGGGACTTAATCTGTCCTAATTTATATCAACCTATTCAGCCTACAGCAGTTTAGCCCCACCCATTCACACTGAAGTTATACAGTGTTTCAGCCTGGACTGCTTTTTGAATAAGGCACAATACAGGACAGCCAATCAGGGAAGAGCTCATTTATATACTGTATATAAATCTATATAAAAGTATATAAAGGCACAGTAACAAAAACAGCCTGTTTAATTCTAAGGGATGAAAAGATTCTGCCATGTAGATTAAATAAATGAATGAAGGAATAAATATATATATTAGTGGAAAAACAACTAAACATTTCTTAGGAACATTTACACATAACATTATATTTACAATGGTCTCCGAAATCTGAGACAATCCTGCGCTATATATTGTTTTGTTAAATATCACTGCAATATTGACCTGCAGATTACTGATATCACAGAAAGCTGTGTGCTGTCTGGACCACATCACAGTTTCAGATCAGTGTTTCAGTGGGCGTCTTGAATAATCAACATATTCATGTAATCTAATACATGGAAATTACTTAGGTCAAAATAATGCAGGCTAATCTTTATCCATGTCACGTTATGCTAGGCGTATTGCAATTTAATTGCAATACTAGTATACCGTCTATAACATGCATCCACAGAGGGAACATGTGAACTGACAATTAGACCACATACAAACCAAGCCAAGTTCATTTCCCCTATATGCATCATTAAGCAGAATGAATGCAGTACTAGACGTGATCTCGTTTGACCGATTCATTGCTTTACCTTCAATTGCTGGATCTCTCGCTCTCTCTCCTCCACCTGGACGCTCAACCTCCTTAGCTCCTCCTCTGATGAATCTCTGCACTGCTGCAGATGCCTGTTCCCACACACACACACACACACACCACACACACACACACACACACACACACAGATTGCTTCACTGAATTGCAGAATCCTAACAAAGTCATTTAAAGGGCAAGACACTTTATGACAGCTGACAAGAGGCCATAGAATGACCACTGCTTCTGAAGCCTAGCAAACATCATGTTTTATTGAATGTAATATACAGATTTTCTGTGTAAAACGTGTCATTCTGGTTCAGGACGCCACAGCACTTAACCCAGACAAATCACCAAACATGGTTTAAATGGGTTTAACAACCAAACCGTGAACTGCAGAAGCTGGCCAAGAGCTTTACGTCCTAAACTATTCTCAATTACATTTCGCTGCTGTCATAACAAAACCTTGTATCTCCAAAATGGAGGAGAAGGAAAAGGAGAAGGAAAAAACCTACTTTACTTTTAATGTAAGTCAATGGAACCAGACATTTTTCCAAGTAATTTTGTGCCATTTCTTTTGGTCCATTCATCATGAAATTTACACACAATGTAAAGGTCAACAGGCATTTTCGGATTATGTCAAAAACTGAAAAACGACAAAAATTGAGATATGAGATTTTGTTCTGACAGGAGCAATTTACAGACCTGAATAGCAACAAGTTAAACGACTGAACATTAAGCAGTAAGCATTAAGTAGCGATTAAGCACACTGCAACCTCACACACTCATACAAACTATTTTCAGAAATCTAGCAACAAGATAAAATGTTTTAATGCAGAACAAACTCTGTGTAACTACCTTGGAGCTTACCGTCAAGCATCAATGGTAGATTTGGTAGATAGTAAACGACAGATTTTTTTTTTTTTTTTGGGAAAAGAGTACATTTTGGCCTTCTGGCACGACAGTTAGTTCCTCTTCTTCAAGATTTCTGAAGCAGTGGAAAACAATCTTTCTCTGTCCACACTTGTGCAAGGTGCAGAGAAGTAGGTTCAAACAACTTTGGCAAGAGTAGGAAAGCCCTTGCTGACTGGTGCTCACAATCAGCCAAATTAAAGGAATATCAACCAATCACTGATTATCTATTTAGGCCAAAAATCGATCAACTGATCTTTCCATTCCTGGCCCAAAACAGGAATTAAATGTGCCTAATATTACACCAGTTTGTCATGCATGGTAGACAATATGCACTCTTCCGTAAATCAGTTCAATTGACATATCCAAGCCAAAGCCATACAATGCCAGAAGTCTAAGAAAGCATAACTGGCTTCATTCGCTCTGGGTGGGTAGAACAATCCTCACTCGCCCCCAGCACTCAACACAATGCTAACCAACATGGTTCTCTGTTAGCCGACATAACAGAATTGGCAGTTAGTGTTCTCCTCCAAGCATGATGATACGTCAAAAAGAAGCACCCTCCCAGTTTGGTAGCATTGTGTGATGAGGTAGATCTAGCAAGCAACTAGGAACTGGCCAAGGCTAAATTGCGGAAAAAACTGGGGGGAGAAAACAATAATAATAATAACATAAAATGTTAATAGCTGGGCTATTTTACTGTAGCTAACTAGACGACAACTTAGAATTTACCATCATGCTAATCTTAACCTGATTACAGCTCAAAAAAAAAAAAAACTTAATCTGTCCTAAAAATGTGACTTTTTAAACACACACACACACACACACACACACACACACACACACACACACACACACAATTATCTAAGCCGCTTATCCTTCTGGGTCCTGGGGGTGTGCCGGAGCCTATCCCAGCACTCATTGAGCTGAAGGCAGGAAACACCCTTTACAGGTCACCAGTCCATCAGACAGACATATACAATCACACATACATTTCACACCTAGGGGCAATTTAGCATGTCCAATTGGCCTGACTGCATGTCTTTGGACTGTGGGAGGAAACCCACACAGACACAGGGAGAACATGCAAACTCCACACAGAAAGGACCCCAGTCACCCAGCTGGGGAATTGAACCCAGGCCCTTCCTGCTGTGAGGTGACAGCGCTGTGACTTTTCATACGCATATAAAATGAATATTTGAAATTCTATATGTACATATTGAGCAGTAATTTTGCATTAGTTTGAACGGAATTTTTGCCAAAAGTAAGGATAAGCCAATCAAGTCCTAAATGTTGTTATGGAGAGAATAGCCCTCAATGTTACTTCAACCTATTGTATCAAGACTGCAACCTATATGCACTCTACTTTTGTTATTTACATTACAAACTGATATCTTGACATCTCCATAGGCTGTATCTATGCCTTTTCAGCAAATTAATGACCTTCAGTTGATTTATGACATACAGCCGTCTTTCACACACACTAGCATTCAGTGAGCGTAAGGCTTTGTTCCAGTTGTTTTGGCTGATGATCTGAAGTGACAGCCTCATGTTTGTTGGAGTCGTTAATGGAAGGCGATTCCTCTCCGCAGTCGGCCCGATTCCACCGCCCCCCAATCCCGTCTCCCATCAACAAGTCTGCCTGGAAGCCCCCAACTGCCACACTCAATAAAACATCAATAGCAGGAAGCGTATTGCGTGACAGCCCGGTCGGAGGCTTCAGATGGAGCGTGGTGTGACAGGCTCCGAGGACCCGCGCGTTCATAGCGCTGCAGAGAGCCCGGGACCCCGCAGACTGACACCGGCACTTTGATCATAAGGCGAGATGTGCGGGATGCGGCGCAGCTGTGCAACGAGATGCCACTGCTGTGTGTTTGAGAAGTACAGATACACTAGAAATACTTTTGCTAACTTTGTGCTCTACACAAGAATCAAACATACTCAGTATTGTTCCAGGTTTCAATGGACATCATATTGTCTGTATCTCTGTATTATTATAACTTGATTTTCATAAATCAATATAGTCTTAAAAGCTAATGTGGCTGTCATAGTCCTGAATGAACACTCTTAAAAATAAAAGTGCTGAAAATGTTCTTTGGAGTGATGCCATAGAACAGGGGTCGGCAACACGCGGCTCTTTTACTGTCCTGTTGTGGCTCTGTGGCAAAATTAGACTTTTAGGTAAAAATAAAATAATCCTCCTTTGCAGTAAAATAAAGCTCTGCTGATCGTTCAACACAGTTTTAACAATAAATATTAGTAAATGCTGTAGTTAATGTAGCCTATATCTGCTAATTCACCCTTTAACGCTGAAGTTTGGCACACAAACTGCTGGTCACGACAGCAATGCAGACATTGCCGAGCTAGTAGCTAACAAAAAGTCAAAGAGAAAGATTTAAGATGAACATCAATAATTTAGAGACGAATGGACTTGGATTTACATTTATAAGCAGGTTTCCTGCTATGTTTAATCTGCATCGACAAACTGTCAAACACTGAAGTCAGTTTTTTGTTCAAATTTTCTGGTTCCACCTTAAACGTTGCCTAAGGTGCCAGAATGTAACTGCGGCAACATTTAAACTGAAACGGGAAAATCCAAACAAAAAACTGACTTCATCTTCGCGACTTCCAACAAGAAGCTGGTGAATGAGGAGTGCATTTCAGCTTCTCAAAAAGTTGAACGTTGAGAGATGTTTTACAAGAAACTTTTCTTTTTCCTGCTAGAGATGCGAGAAAAGCGGCTCTAGCTTAATTAAAGATTAAAGCAGAGCAAAGTAAGTCTGCATTTTCGTTTATCTTTACATTTTCATATACTAGTACATTAGCACATACTGAGGCATATTTACAGTTGTTAAAATGGACATAAAACCTTTTTGAAGTTTGATGAACCTCCACATACACGCTTTAAAAACGTGCCACAGGTATAATGCCATAGAAGAACCACTATAAGTTCCCTAAAGAACCTTTCAGTGGATGGTCACCATTCAATGGATGGACTATTTTCTTAATGAAATTTCTAAGTGTGAAGAACCTTTTTATAAAGCCACATAATGGAAAAAAATACAGGATTCTGAGGCAAAGGACCTTAACATTAAGTAAAAGCTCTTTAAAGGTTCTTCACAAATCTGTTTTTCAAACGCTGTTCTTTGAAAGTGGTTCTTCTACGGAATTGCTCAAAGAACCTTTGGTGGCAGCTTTTTTGTTTTAATAGTCTAATGTAATTATTTTTTCTACACTCTTAAAAAAAGGCACCGCAGTGGGTTCTTTGAGTGATAGAGGAACCACTTTTGGTTCCCAAAAAAACACGCTTAAAGAAGAGATATGAAAGTGTGAAGAACCATTTAAAGGTTTAAAAGACCTTCACATAATGCAAAGATTCTATATCACCTTCACATTATGCGGAGGTTCTTAAAAAAACCACAAAAATAGTTCTGCAGAGAACCATCTACTGAAACGTTCTTTCAGGAATCAAAAGAGGTTTTACTATAACAACACACAAAGAACCCTTACTGGCACCTTTATTTTTAAGAGTGTAAAACCATCCATACAAATCAAAAACCAGTAGATCCTACATGATGCTTTGATGCACAAGGCGTGGAAGGGCTGTTGCCAAGAGACGCCACTGCCTTCACATGACGCCACCAGTATCCCACCTCCAATACACATTTACCACAGCGAGGTGGGCTACTAATCTCCATGAGTGGCGAGACTGAGATGAGCGCAGGCATGCTGAGAGAGGAAGGTGACCTAGTTTGTAGGCGGTGGTATTAACGTCGCAGCATTTTAGCAAAGAGCAAGAACAAAGTGGCACTTTTAATAAATAAGTAGGCCACTCAGGGCCGTGTCAGCACTCTGGTGTTTGCATTCGAAGGCTCACATTTGCACCCTGAATCTTTCACTCTACATCAGTGGTCACCGACCCTACTTCTAAATATCTTCTATTCTTGGAAATTAGCTCTGGCCCTTATCCACCACGCCCGATCCAACAAATGACTGTCTTCAGAGGACCTTGAGGAGTTGGATCACGTGTTAAATTTTGTTTAGAGGTGAAACCAGCAGAAAGATACATGTCGAGGAAGAGAGCTGGTGACCACTTCTGTATCTCCTATTAAGGAGTGATGGCTTAGAGGAACCACCATTAGTTTTCTGGAGAACCTTTCAGTAGGTGGCTCTTTGAAAAAAT